GCCCCCAGCCCCGCCATGGCGGGCGCCGAGTGCCGGCCGGGCCGGGCCGGGCCGCGGCGGGGCGGGGCGGGAGCGGGCCCGGAGCCTCCTCAGAGCCGCGCCAGCCACTGCCCCGAGCCCGCGTTATGAAATTATGCAAAGATACGCTTATTTTTTCAAGAAGTTTCATCACCAGGGAGGAAGCGGGGAACTTTTACAACCAAATGACGCTTCCCCCTCGAAATACAGAAATAAACAGTCTGGTTTCACATTCCTGGCGTTAAGTCAGAGGCAGAGGAAACAGGTTTTGAGAATTTCCTCTTTTTCACTTTTAATTTGTTGCCATCTGACAGTCAAAGTGACCTGTAAGACACACGCACAAAAAAACCCAAACCAAAAAACCTGTATTTACAGTGTAGGCTTGATGCATGTGTGTCTGGACGTTTTTACCAGAATCCCACATTGTCCAGATTATAAAACTCATGGCCACTTGCCAGCATGCACATGGAACTCATCCAGTACCATAAGTTTAGGAACAGGATATATTTGAATGAAAAGTGCTAATGTTTGCAAATATTTGTGTCTATCTAGGCCTGTGATGACTTCCCATGAGATTTGGCATTGTCACTTTCAACCCTTAAAGCAACAACTTGATGAGTTTATGTATCAGAGATGTAGATGTGACACGCTCGCTTTTTGTGGAGGACAGTTTATGACTCAGTGAGCTCCACCTAGCATGATTCAGAATTACAGAATCAGGACCATCAAGGTTTGAAGAACCCTTTGGGGTCATCCAGTCCTATCGTCAACCCAACACTGCTGCTATAACCCCATAACCACTAAACTGTATCACCAGCACCAGATCCAGACACCTCTTAAATACCTCCAGGGATGCTGACTCCACAAATGTCCACTTATCAAAGGCCAATTATTATTTCAGGCTTATGTCCCCTTCACCCCTCACACCAACCTGCGCCTCAGCTTGCGGGTATTGGACTTGGTGACCTTTAGGACTCTGTGGCAGAAAATCTCCAAAGGATGTCATCAACCTGTTTCTTAGTTGGTGCAATTTCCTTCATTGCTGAAAAATAAGAATTTCTGCTACAAGCTGAGAAATAATGAGTAGGAAACAACAGATTAAATCAACTAATGAGTTTGGTGGGCGTTTTAGGAGAGACCTCTGAGATGTGACTGTGTAAAAAACCCAAGGCTAGAAAAGAAGACATCAGTTAAAGTGTTTCCATTTGGAACAGAGTAAGGTTCTGTATTGATGAGCCTGAATGCATTCTGGAATGACTTGGTGGAAAAAGTTGAGCCCACAGGATGCTTTCAGGAGATACATCACATTATGAAGGTGTTTTGGGAGCCTGGCCTGTACAATTAAGCAGCAGACTTGCTTAGTTCAACAAAATAAAGGCTAGAAGGGAATATGGTTACTCTTTGCCAGGGATTCAACTAAAAGGAAGCAAAAAAAAGCTTCATAAAATAAAGAATAATATAGTAAATAGATAGATATACACTGACCATGAGTATGGGTAAGCCAAAATTTGTGAGGATTCTAATGATATTTCAGAAAATTCTTACAATTGAGGAAGGATTGGGAAAAAATTCTTCATAAAGGCAAAACTAGAAGAACATTTTAGGGGGGGCTGTAACTGCCTGCAATAGGGAAGGACTGGATTTCATAAAACAGAACACTTCCTATGAGAAAGATCCCCTGCTATCTCAGCAACTCCATGAAGTTCTGCTTCCCATGCAGAAATTTGAGGTTACCATTGTTTATCCCAGATACAAGGAAAGATGAGGTTGCCAGCATCTTCTGGTATTTCTCATGGGTCAGAGGTAATGATGTATATGGGGAAACTCCAACACAGATAATGTAACATCAGCAGGCACAGACAAGTGTCTCCAGCCAGCTGTGTGTCAGTCCTGCCCTGGTCCCTCTGTCAGTGTGGCTGCTGAAGCGAGGACAGTGCTGCTGTGTCCTGTGATGGGTGCTGTAGCACAGGTTGGACAGGTGCATGAATGTGGGTAGCACACTGCTTCACAGATACTTCTTAAGGCTTTCTCTTTACTGTGGAGCCTTCTCAAGTGTCTGCTCTGAGGTTGTCCTTCTCAAAATAGCTTTCTTCAAATGCAGACAATGCTGCAGCTTCCTGCAGCAGTAGATTTACACGTAGCCTGGACTGATGGTGTTAACAAGGATGCTACATTAGCTCGGTCTTTACCCTCTGCTGTCTGTCAGGCCAACCAATTTAAATAAAAAGGCTCTCCATAGAATTTTGTACATTGGAGTGTTGATTTATGAGCCATGCACAAGGTAGGATTCTAGCCAAATTCCTAATGAGACTCCAAATACCCGGGATTACCGTTGCTCTCTGTGAGTTACAGTATCACTTTTCCTGATATTCCTATCCACAAGGGGACAGTCTTTCCATCTCTTACCACCGACTAAAACCATTTAAAAGTTAGCTCCTTGAAAACTACTATTCAATGAACGAATTTTTTTTTTTTTTTAAATACATGTTTCATGCTTTAGAAAAGTTCCAGATCTGATATTACTGTACTTACGAAGCTAATCATAAGCAAAGTTAGTTTAATGAAGCTAATGACTTGAAAATAATGACTGTGGCTACAAAATAATCAGTGCAAAGCACAAAATGAAGTTTCCATTGTGTTTATTGAGATATCTTTGCAAAAAAATGTATTTTCTTCTCATTCATTTTTTTTGATTGTTCACTTAAATTTCTTTATCCAAAAATGTGATGAATAGTACTAGTAATAAAGATAGTTTTAAATGGAATTTTAGTGGGAGATCTTTGAATTTTCATATATAAAAAATTACTAGATTTATTATAATTTAATTTTATAAAATGTTGGATTATGAAAATATCGTATTCATTTTTCTTCAATGTTTGTAGATTGTGGAAGTTGCTCTCATAGATATGATTCTTACATTTTTGCTTCTTATCTGAAACACTTGGTTTAGAAATAACTGCTTAATTTACTGAGTACAGAATACTCTGGGCAAAGCAGAAAATGCCATATTTTTAAATTTGCAAACTGCTCACACCTCCTAGTTTTCGCTAGTGTGGCATATGGCCTCAATCTCTCCTGATAAGTTGATCCAGCAGCTGATTTTTTACAGAGCCAAATCCCCACAGAAGTGGGACAACTCCTCACTGCAGTTACCGAAAGTACTCTAAAGTGCTCTGAATACAGGAAGAAACCAGAGAGATTCTTCAGCAAAATATTTCATGCAAACCATGCAACATAGTCTTGTCACTAAGCTGGCTTTGCACATACTTGCAAGCAACCATCATTAAAATAATAATAAAAAAAAAAAAAAGTTAAGGAGGAGAACATAAATATGAACCAAAGATGAAGAAACATTTTTTTTGAAACACAGTAGTATTGCTACGGGTGCCACAGCCTCCATAATAAATGAAGCTTCCTCCTTAATAAAGTAAAGCTTACAAAGTATTACAAAGTGGTTCAATGTATTTCCATCTGAAATTATTTTGATGCAATATTAGAATACTAATGCAATTACAAATATTAGCAGCATATTCATGAAAGTTTTCTTGAGCTGGAGATATAAGCTAAAAATTATAATAAGAAGAAAGAGCAAGGCTTAATTTGGTTTTAAAATGCTCTGTACTAAGTCACTGCTCATGTCAAGATTATGCACTGAATAGATTTTCTTAAGTGACCAAAGTGGAACTTTTTGCTTTTATTTCTGTTAAGATAAAACCACTTCTGAGTGACAAAATTGAGGTAAATTACTCATAATAGGCAAAACAGGGTTCACTAATCCTTAAATGAAATTTCTGGGCCAACAGTAAAGTATTTTAGTTATTTAAGAGACAGGATTCTCTATCAAACCAGAATATAATTTTTAAGTTTTCACCAGAGAACAGGACATCTCTCTCTTTCTATCAGAATGACTCAAATGTGTGGCTACTGATAAAAACTGCTGAAAAGTGATTGCAATGAGTTACCTATTGTTTGTAGCTCCTTGTGCTACACTTTGGGTTTGCAATAGGTTTTAATTTTACTTTCTTCCATGGCAGAAGTCATCACTACATTCTGCCTTGGCTTATTATCCTCAGTTCATGTATCCCTTGATATCTCTGGATTCAAAGCCATGTTTCTCAATATATTTGAAAGAGACACTGTGGTGGTCACAGTAAGAGGTAATTTCAGCTGATTGAAGAGCAGTAAGGAGAATAAATGAAAGATGTGACAATTTCTGTAATCGGAGGGAGAGGTAATTGAGGCTAAGAGAAATATTTTAGTTACAGACAAGTGAGAAGGATTCTGATACATTACAGAGAAAGAAGTAGGGTCACAGGTCCTGGCAGAAACCTGTACCAGTGCAGGCTTCCCACTGGGTCACAGCCTTCTTCAGGCATCCACCTGCTCCAACATAGGTTCCTCCACAGGCTGTAGGTGCTCCTATCCTTTATTTCTGCTCCACCACAGATCTCGATGGGCTGCAGGGACACAGGTGTCTCATCATAATCTGCACCATGGGCTGCAGGGGAATCTCTCTCTGGTGCCTGGAGCACTTCCTCCCCTTTCTTCTGTACTGACCTTGGTGTCTGCAGAGCTGATTTTCTCACATATTCTCACTCCTCTCTCTGGCTCTGGTTACCCAGGGGTTCCCTGCCTCCTCCCCGCCATGCCCACCATGCCTTCTTGACCTGAGCAAACTTGGGAGAGCTGTGGTTGTTCAGCCTGGAGAAAAGAAGACTTCACAGAGGCCATCCAGTACCTCAAGAGGCTTTATAAAAAGGAGATACAGGGACTTTTTATATGGGCAGATAGTGACAGGACGAAGGGCAATGGTTTTAAGATTAGATAGAAGGCTGGTTTAGTTTAGATGTTAAGAAGAAAAAGAGAATAGTGAAGCACTGAAACAGGTTGTCCAGAGAAGTCGAGGATGGCCCGTGTCTTGAAAGTGTTCAAGGCCAGGTTGGTCAAGTGTTATTGCCAGGAGCAACCTGGTCTAATGACCGACATCCTTCCCAGGGCAGAGCTTGGAAGGAGATGATCCTTAAAGCCCATTCCAACCCAAACCATTCTGTGGTTCTATAATTAGTGCTGTTGTCCCAGGTGTGCTACCACTATCACTGATGGGCTCAGCCTTTGCCAGCTGCAGGTCCATTTTGGAGCAAGCTGACTTGTTGGACATGGGGGAAGCTTTTAGCAGCTTCTTACAGAAGCCGCCCATATGTCCTGCCTCATCTACAAAAACCTGGCTATACAAAAACAATACAGAAGATATCTTGATAAACAGCATCCACAGGAATTGCCACATGAATGCATATTATTTGAAAAAAACCAACTTGGGAAGCATCCTAACATCACAAAAAGAGCCCTGTAATAGGAAGAGGAGTGAAAAGAAATGTTACCATCAAGATATTAGGACTAGGAGAAAGACACTAAGTACATGTGCTTATTCTGACTTTTCTTAGCACC